GGAATAGTTCAGTTAACATCCACACTGGTCCTTTATGATACACTATATGTACCACAATTCCATGTAAATTTGGTGTCTACTGCCAAACTCATAAATACCCTCAATTGTTCACTTACTTTTGCTAATGAATTATGCTTTGTCAAACAGATCCAATCCCAGAAGATGATTGGTATAGCTGAGAGGAGAAATGGCCTATACATGATAGTCAATAAGGTAGCCCAAACACCACAACTTAGAAGCTATTACACCACTGTCAACAATGTAGTAGACACACATACACTATGGCACAGAAGACTTGGCCATCTATCTGAAGCTATGCTACACAAAATGTCACTACAATTTCCTTTTATTCCTTCAATCCATGTAAAACCTTGTGATGTATGCCATCTAGCTAAGCAGCAAAGGCTGCCATTTCCTTCTAGTAACAGTCAAACAAATAAAGCTTTTGATTTGATCCACACAGACATTTGGGGACCCTTTTCCACAATATCCATAAATGGACATCGATTCTTCCTTACAGTGGCGGATGATTTCTCACGGTTCACATGGATTTTTCTTATGAAAAATAAAAGTGAAGCACGTCAACACATTTGTGATTTCATTGCCTTTATTCAAACTCAATTCAGTACCACTACAAAGATGATACGCAGTGACAATAGACCAAAATTCATCATGAATGATTTTTATAAACAAAAAGGGATAGTTCACCAAACATCTTGTGTAGAGACTCCACAACAAAACGGTCTTGTGGAGAGAAAGCATCAACATCTGCTGAATGTTGCAAGAGCCTTCTTGTTTCAAGCCAACCTTCCTCTTCAATTCTGGAACTATGCAGTTCTTCATGCTGCACATGTCATCAATAGGCTTTGCACACCACTCCTTGCCAACAAGACCACATACCACAAACTATACAATGCACCACCCTTGATAGATCACCTTCGAGTTTTTGGGTGCTTATGCTATGCATCCACATTGCAAGCACACCGCACAAAGTTTAGTCCAAAGGCTCGCAAAGCAATGTTCCTTGGCTTCAAAGAAGGTACAAAAGGGTATCTTTTGTATGACCTTACTTCAAGAAACTTTCTTGTATCCCGCAATGTTGTTTTCTACGAAGACAATTTTCCATTTCATGACACCAATATAGATGTCCCCAACATAGCCCAACAGCAATTCCATAATCATGCCCCTGAACTGCCACATAGCCAAACAGAAGCTCCAACAAGCCCCTTCTATGATACACATGTCCCCAATACAAGCCAAACAGCACCACAAACAACTTCAATCCCACACCAGACACATAACCATAATCCAACTCCACCTGCCTCACCTATTCCCACGCCATCTGACCCACCCCTACCAGAATTACACACAAGCCAGCAAATTCCTCCTAGACGTTCATCACGAACACGATTTCGACCAAGCTACCTCAATGTCTATCATGTTGGGCTCTCCACAACTACCAATCCTCTTCAGGGTGATCACTCTTCTTCCAGGTATCCCTTATCCACTATTCTTTCTTATAATAAATGTATTTCCTCTTATCATCACTTCTCTCTAAATTCATGTACTCTTGTTGAGCCTCGTACCTACACACAAGCTATAAAATCTCCTCAGTGGCAACAAGCCATGGAAAAGGAATTAGCTGCACTTCAACTCAATAATACTTGGAACTTGGTACCACTCCCTCATGGCAAGAAAACAATTGGCTGCAAATGGGTTTCTAAAATCAAATACCATTCAAATGGCTCCATTGAAAGATACAAAGCATACCTTGTGGCAAAGGGGTTCATTCAGCAAGAAGGGGTGGACTATTTTGACACCTTTTCTCCTGTTGCTAAGCTGACAACCGTGCGCACATTGTTGGTTGTTGCTTCCATTAAAGGTTGGTTCCTTGAACAATTAGATGTTGATAATGCATTTTTGCATGGTGACCTTAATGAGGAGGTATACATGGATCTTCCACCTGGTCTTTCTTCTTCTTCTGGTAATCTTGTTTGCAAGTTGCATAAACCATTATATGGCCTTAAACAGGCCATCCGTCAATGGCATGCAAAATTGTCTTCTGCACTCTTATCTCTTGGTTATGTTCAAGCCCAAGCTGATCACTCCATGTTTACCTACAGCACAACTTCCTCCTTCACTGTATTACTAGTTTATGTGGATGATGTGGTCCTATCTGGCACCTGCATGGATGAGATTCGTCGAGTGAAAGCCTTTCTTCATGATCACTTTTGTATCAAGGATCTTGGGAGTCTTCGTTACTTTATTGGCTTAGAAGTGGCACGTTCTCGATCTGGGATTCTTTTAAACCAACGCAAATACACTTTGGAACTCTTATCTGATGTTGGGCTCCTTGCTGCAAAACCAGTATCCACACCCATAGTCACAAGTCAATCTTCATCAGAAAGTCCTCCTCTACAAGATCCTTCTATATATCGTCGGTTAATTGGACGGCTGTTGTATCTCACAACCACGCGACCAGATATATCACATGTAGTCCATCATTTGAGTCAATTTGTTGCAGCTCCTCTTGATAGTCATCTCACTGTTGCTCACCGTATTCTATGATACTTGAAGAGTGCTCCTGCTAAAGGCTTGTTCTATCCAGCTAATGCACCTCTTTGCATACGTGTTTTCTCTGATTCTGACTGGGCTTGTTGCCCCCTTACTAGAAGATCAGTCACCGGGTTCTGCGTATTTCTTAGTGATCCTCCAGTTGCATGGCGTTCAAAGAAACAATCCACTGTTTCTCGATCCTCTTCTGAAGCAGAGTATCGAGCTCTTGCTAGCCTTACCTGTGAGTTACAATGGTTCCAATACTTATTTCAGGATCTTCATATACCTTGGGATATCCCTGCTTCTGTATATTGTGACAATCTCTCTGCTTTATATCTGGCACAAAATGCTACCTTCCATGAATGCTCCAAGCACATCGAAATCGATTGTCACATCACCAGAGACAAGGTTCGTTGTGGACTGATCAAGCTTCTCCATGTTTCTTCTATCCATCAAGTTGCTGATGTGTTTACCAAGTCTCTCCCATCTTCAGCGTTCAACAGTGCCATATCCAAGTTGGGCCTCGTAAACATCCTTGGTCCAGCTTGTGGAGGGGTCTTACCAGATCAAAGTTCAACTACATGCCCAAGCCCAAGTGATACAGTCCAACAAATTAAATTACCCCACGCAATGGATAAACCACGCGCCACAAACCACAACAGAAGCAAAACTGATTCAGTTAGTTAGAACTGATTCAGTTAGTTAGTTAGACTTGTTTTTAATCCTCTGTCATTCAGCTTAGTTAGGACTGATGTATAAATATAGATTCGTTCGTTGATACCAATTAATTAATAGAAAATGATTCATTCTTTCAATTCCATGACTTACAAAACAAAAAGTGTAATAACAGTGTAAAAAGTTTGAGAAGTGCTTGAAAGTAGTTTCAACTACAAAACATAAGTATATTTTTATCCTTTTTATATTTTGTTTAACTAAATAATAATGGTATTTTGAGAAAAATAAAATCGTGACAAAATGAGGAAAGAAATCTTCTTTATACCATGGAAAGACTTTAGTCATTTGTCGTGACAACGACAGGTATGATTGATTGTTGTGTCCTATTACACGTGGATGAGTAAAGGTTCATCTGGGGGAGCAAAATTCAGAATGCTTGACGAAATGGCATGGTATACATTGACATGGTGACCGATTTTGATTGTTGACAAATCAAAGAAGATTCCTATAACTTTTAACATTGTTGTTTGGGCTGGACCGGCCCGATTTTGATTGTTGACAAATCAAAGAAGGTTCCTTTTACTTTTAGCATTGCTGTTGGGCTGGACCGGCCGGTCTGCCTATCAAAATCAGAAATTAACCTTCAATCAGATTTTGGTTTATTGAAATAATTGTTTTTGTGGTTCGGGTTAAATTAATAAAAATGAAGTTGGATCAGATAAAATTGAGTTGAAACGAGTTGCATGAGACAACTTTTGTTATGAATTGTCAATTTAGCGTATAAGAAACTTAGATATACTTTTTTTGATGAAGGAGAAACTTAGATTTAATTATAACAAATTATATACATAAAACTTCATATATTTATATTTAAAAACTATGTAATTCACCCAAATGATTTAACCACTTTTAGTTGAATTAGGAAAAATCTTAGATTCAATAATAAAAAATTATACATAAAAATTTATATATATGTTTATATGGAAATACGATCCAATTTAATTAAACGATTTAACCAGTTAAATATTAATTGAAAATTTTGGCAATTTACTTTCTCATCCGGTTTTCACAACATTAATTTGCACAACCTTGATGCTGCTCAATGCCAAACCACATGATGTTAACTATGTGTTGGGTTGGGTTGGGTTGGGTGTTCACAGTCATCATCGTAGCTTTGATTTGATTAGAGAACAGATATGAAGATAAGGACCACTCATTATACACTTAATGGAAGAAAAGCACCTTTCTTTCACTATATTATTAATTGCCAAAGTAGGTGAGGAAATTTGAAAAAGACCTCCACTACCATGCCATGTGGAACAATATACACCCACATCCTCTCCAAAAGAAGACCACAACCCCTTCAATAATTCACCTCTACCCCAAAATCCGTTCTCATTTCAGAAAAATTTGCTAGGGTTAGATTCATTTTTGAAAGAGACTTCCCCATGCTACCACTTTTTTATTTTTTTGGAACATCCCACTTTTGCAATGGTATATACATCAAGTGGAACATGGGTGCAGGTATTTCTCAAGCTGAATGAATCTCTAAACCCAAAAGTAAAGCATATACATTGAATAATAACAAAAGTGGTCCACTATAGACATGTGAATACACACACACACACAGATGTATTTATATATATATATATATATATGCCAATACACTAAGCAACGGAAGAATATAGAAACCAAAAGGTAGCAGAAGCAACAAGCCAAATAAAAGCGAATAACAGAACAAAATTATTGATAGAACGAAAGAAAATGACACCGTATGCTTCATCATACACTCATTTGTTATCCGACTTGAAACAATAAAATTTATTGCCATAGTATCTCAATTATATTGGCATGTTACAACTTGTAATTTTGCTATATCTCTGACCCTTTCGTCAGTTTCACATTTCTATAGCAAAATGTACAATTCAAATACCTAAGGCAAGGCACAGTGATCAATTTCATACACAAACACGTACACGTAGTATAACAGTATAAAAATACGTACGGACGCATAAAATACAATGAAATAAGAGAGTACGTATGTAAAAGTAAAACACTAAAATTTGATTAAGTTCGAAGTTCAAACGCTAACGGAGCAACGCTGGACTAACTGATACTTAACGGTGTTCTCACCGACGGAGATGCCGTTACTATGGGGGCCGAAACTGATGAACGCCGGGCACCGGACGTAGAGGTGGTAACGACCGGAGATGAAGGTGCCGACCTTCCAGCGGACTCTGCCGTCAATTTTAACGATGACGAGGACGTTACCGTTAGTCTGGTCCTGGCTGAGACCTTCGAAGTTGAAGGGTGCGACGGGGACGTTGGTGCCGTAAACAAACGGTGACCAAACGTCGATCTCCTTGTGGCCCTGGTACGACGGAGGGATGGCGGTGCGGTAGGTGATTTGCTGGCTCCGGTAATTGACGTAGGTGTCGAGACGGTCGTAGTAAATTCCGATGCGGTCGTTAGGATTGCGTGAGGTGAGGGTGACTTGGAAATTGGAGGTTAAGAAGTTTGGTACGGTGGCGTTGAAGGCATAAACGGTGACGTCTTGGAGAATGAAAGAAGGCTTGGTGGGTCTTAGAATTGCCCATATGAGAAGGATTAGAACCAAAACGATAAAGAGGAACACCACTATGCCCCAGAATATTCGCCTGAAGATCTTTCTCTTCTTCCCCTTGTGGTGCTCGCACTCCTTCACCGACATGTTATTTTTTTCGGGGGTGTTTTTAGGTTATAGTGGAGAGTGGGTGTTAGTTGAAGTGAAGCTATGTAAGAAGGATAATAATGAAGATATATTAATTTAAAGAAGGGGTGGAGTAGAAGTGAAGAGGGAGCAAAGAGAGAGAGAGGGAAATTATGCTATGGTCTTGTTAGGTGAAGGAATGGAGAAGTTTCGTGTGATTCACGATTTTGTGAAATAATGTGAGTTAAATAATTTATGGGTTTTATAAGAGTTATGTTGTAGGAAAAGTGATTGTGTAACGTTATAGAGATTCGTTTTGCGTGTCATAGTTTTTTTATTGCTTTAAAAGGTGTGAGCCCCACAAAATATTATGTATGTAGGAAAGTTTTTCTGGTCTTGTTGAAGGACAAACTAAAACTCCATAATTTATATGTATAAAAATGTTTTGTAGAGAGGATATGATAAGATCATGTTACATGTTTGTGTTGGAACGTTATGTGAATATGAATGGTGGAGGCTGCTTTGCTAGATCGATGGATATATACATGTGCTTCTTATATTAGAAACTATGTAATGAACCAAAAGAGTTGGTTGAAATGGTATATGTTTAATTTCACTTAAGTAAGATTTTGAGTTTAAATCTTTGTGAATGTAAAAAATTCTCTTTGAGAGACCTAATCCTACAATTGTAGATACTCCTTGTTTGAACATGACTGCTTCTCGTGAATAATATATGTGGTTTAAAAAAAAAAAAAAAACTATATAACGATGGCTTTTGGTTGTTGAGGCGACTTGAATAAGTTATTTGATTATTACTAGTTTGTTAAAACTTTAAACAACGTGTGAATACGTAGCTGTGATTTTGGTCATTTTTCATATGTCCCACTACTTATACAAAACAAAAGCATATCTTTTGTAAGCTTTTGTGGTCATTGCAAGTTAAACCAACTAGTTTTGTTTTTTCTTTTGTTTAAATTCTATATAACTCCATTTCTTCGTTTCTTACTACGATCGTACTGTATGCCACACATCTACGGCGCACCCACTTTTATGTATATGACATAGATCGCATTAATGACACTTCTCCGAAAAATTATGAACGTAAATGAAAAAGAAAAGTAGTTACTATCTCTGTAGTTTATTTTTGGGTGTTGTCATCACGTGGTGTGAGACCAAACTAGTGAATAGTTTATATCCCACTTTTTTTTTTCCAATTACTTTCCAAGAAAATCAAAAATATGTTTATAAATGAATCGGACATGTGACAACAAGTATAAATTAAAGCATGGTTCTATATTACCAAAAAAAAAAAAACATGGTTCTTGCCTTGCATTCTATCCCCTTTCTTTATCTCCTTTATCACAATCCCAACGGTCATGAATTTACTTTTCATTACTGGTATAATTTTTTTTGATACATTAATCCTAATTACTTCTGTGAAATGAGTCAGTCCTGAGTATTTTCATAAGTTTTAACTTTTTAAACAAACTATAAAACTAATCCTGAATCGTAACTTAATCACAATTAAAGTCTATCTTCAAAAATTTATTTAGTAAGAATCGAATTCAAATTCTATCAGCTACTTACTTTACTGAGCATGTGTTAGTGATATAATTCTAGACTTAGATAGTTATACATCATCATAATCTATATTTTATTTTACACTTTCTGCATAAATATGTAAAATAGAAAAAACATATCAAAATGTGTTTTTTTATTTCATTATAAAAAATGTAAGAACTGTATAATGAAAATGATAATTAAATATTATTGAATAATTTTTCAATCAGATATCGAGTAACTAGACAGCTATTGACGTTACTTGAATAACTGGCTATACTATACCGTACGTACATGAAGGTTTGTACTCTACGCCTACTTGCAAACATTGACATCCCACCCGTCACTCGTCCATTTCAATTTTCAACAAGGACATGGTTTCATTAATGTTTATGCTCGACAAGTCAATAAAGGGGTGCTTTACTCTTTGCTAAATCAAACTTACAAAGAGACAAAAAGGCAAGAATGTGAGCTTTTGAAACGATGAACCTTCATGAATAGGAAACAATATGAAATGCATAAATTAATATGCACGTTACTTCATATTTATATAATTTAAATTATTTAATTATAATTGGGTCTATCTTAATTTTTACATATGTAGATTTCAATTTTGTTATTCAAACAAATGAAAAAGTATGAGTTTTTTTTTTGTAATTAGAATTTTTCATCTAAAGTTGGATCAAAATTTATTAAAAAAAATTAAATAGTTCCTCTCCAAATATATTATATTAGCCTTTCAAAACAATTATTTTATACTACCAGAAAACACAAAAAATTTCATGGACACAATTATGGTATAGATATGTTAAACAATATTTCCTTCCTGAAAGTAAAATGGAAGTGTTCCGGAAAGTTTATCCCTCACTATTAGATGTGCGATTGGGAAGAGAACCTCCAAGCAACGCGTTTGGGGCATACACGGCCCCACTTACCAAGACAAAAGCTTTCAGCTCACCAACACCGACCTATTTGGGGTTTCTATTTGTTTATGATAAAATGGGGTTCTAGAATATACTTGGCAGCACTAAGGCCCAAACTAAAGCCGAGCGTGATAAAAGAGGGTAAAGAATCAACGACTCACAACTCTGCAAGAAAAAAAACCAATTTCAATTTACAGGAATTTAACCCTCTTTATTATGTAATCTGTGGGGCCAAACAGGAATTTCTCTGGTTTCATGGATTTTGGGTGACAGAAAATAAAATAATGAACCATCAAATATGTGGATTAATTAATAAGAGTTTGTTCTAACTTAATTAATAGTCTTGAATTCGAATTTCTATGAGCTTAATATTAGAACTTGATAAAAAGAGTTTTGTTATTCATATAATATTACCTGACTCAAATCGAATTAATTATGTAATCCATAAATAAATATATTTATATATATAAGTTGATGTTTCTCCTTTTACATGAGAGAGCAAAGCATTCCTACACACACATTTAGACGTGGGTTTCATTGTAAACTTTTTCTCTCACTTCATTATTTTCTCTCTCTCTTCATTTATTCTCTCTATAAGAAGTAATCTTTATCTCATGTAAAATGAGGAAAATATTACCTTATATATATATATATATATGAAAAAAATATTTCTCATGCAGCTTGAGATATATTTATCTCTGTTCACCCAAAAATTATGCTATTTTATTTATTTATTTTCTTATATTGATTGATTCACCTTTGAATAGTTATGATTTCTTTTTTCTCTCTCTTCCTTTATTATCATTGGTCCATCTTTGTACGGCTATGATTTAGTAGTCAAAGATAAAATTATCTCAAACAACTTGAGAAACGATAAATCCTATATATTTGATTTTTCCTATTATAAGAAATCTTTTTTTATGTTACTCTCAATTCATTTTCTATGCCATCTTCTTCATTTTTTTAAATTTGTGGGACCCACAAATTCTTTTCGCTGTTGGAAGATTAACTTCTTTTGTACAATAGGAGAAGTTATAAGCCCAAATATGAACAAATTAAGGCAGCAGGGAAACCTTAATAAATTTGGGTTGCAAAGTAGTACCCCAAAAAGTGCTCCCCTTGTGTATTTGCGTTAAAATTGAGCAATCAAAAGTGCTTAAATTTAAGAAAAAAAATTAAAAGGCAATTTTTTTTTTTTAATTTTAGTATCCTATTTAATACAAGTGGGGAAAAAAAATTCTTACTCGCTAATAAAACATTATTATTATTTACAAAAAAAAAACATTATTATGAGAAAAATGGCATGTTATTTATAAAAATGGAAAGTGAAAGTGTTTAAGAATCTTATCTTTTAATCGAGTTTACTCGTTGCCATGTGAAATGTCGAAAACTCGAAATGACTGAATAAATGGATATTTTCTTTTAATTATGGTAATTTATTCTAGGGTCTCTTTTTTCCATGTTGCTGCAAAAAAAAATCTTCTCACATCACCCATTATAATTATGTATTTTGAGAAATACATAGTTATAATATTAAAAAAAAATTCTTTTCACGTTAGCCAACCAAGGTGGCCACAGTTACCTAAGGGTTTGGTCCCCACCCCACAAGGGCGTGAGTTCAAATGTGATATGTAATCCCTCTTATAAATCCTCAAAGAGGTTGGGGGGTCTTCCCTGACCCTAATAGGATACCGGTGTCTAACCTCACTTGAACTTTTATGTATTAAAAAAAAAACTTTAATATAACTATGTACTTCTCAAAATACAAAATTATAATGGATGACATGTGAAGATTTGTTTTGCAGCAACATGAGAAGTAAATTACCCTTTTATCAATTACAAATTAACTACCGTTTTTTGGTATGGTAAATAAAAGGAGGGATATTCTCACTACCAAAATTTTTCACTACCAACTTACTACTTATCTAATCACCATTAGATTAACATTTTCTCTCTCTTCAGAAACTATTTAACATTCTCTCTCTTTGATCTAATGGTGATGTGATATATAGTAAGTTAGTAGTAAGAATTTTTGGTAGTTAGAATATCCTTACTCGATAAACAAAATGCAACAATCATAGAAGATAGTGGGAAATTTTGGACAGCATGCATAATTAAATACCTTTCCATCTTATAATGGGGAGAAATGCAACAATCTTCGTCGCTTAAGTAGAAAACATGACAAAAAGCATGAGCTAGAAAAGGATATCTAATACACGCAAACTAATTAGTCATCATCTCCAGCCATTCAAAGTTGAAACGTGACCGTTGGGACAAATATAAATAATTTCGCATTTCACAATTCAGAACCACACAAAAAATCCCCACCATCAAACAATTTGCAATAATTAAACTTGAGTAGCACATTCTATTGGCTCTTGCAAAATAGGAACATGTTTCATGAAGTCTTTATTTCTCATTTGACCACCGTTGCCTACAAATACCATCTCAAACTAATTAACAAAATTAATTACAAGAAGGAAAAATAACGAAAATGAAAAAAAATATGATTTGTTATTTTGCTGGGATGAAACAAAATTAAACTAACGTTCACAATATCGTTTTCAGCAAAAACATAGATAACTTTGTTTTATATAACAAGGAACAAATTTTTATGATTATAAAAGCAAGAAAAAAATTACCTCTTTCCAAAATGTCAAGAATTACAATTAAGATACTGAATCAAGACTTTCATATTGGTATTGGTTACAATTTTGATTAGATAGCAAAAAAGAAAGACCACCGGAGACAGTTTCCTTTGTTTTCTTTCTCTGTTCTCTTTTTCCAAATGAAACAAAACTCCCACGCGAATCCTATTTATACAAAGATATTGATCCAAAAAAAGTAGTAGTACCTTAGTGACATTACGTATATATCTTTATCAGTCTCTTATATTGCTATAATAATTGACATTCCAACTACTGTCACTTTTTTTTTTTTTGTTAGTTTCCCAATTCTAATTATGTGTTTGAGAAGAGTTGGTTTCCTTCTGTATTTCATAAGTTTTGGCTCTTTGAATTTGCTATGGGACTAATCAAGCGTACGAAATAGATTAGAAATGAAAATATTTAAACCCTTTAAAAAATGATATATGAAAATCGAATCAAGACTCTTTATTTTTTACACCCACTAAAGCTACAACCGAATAGGATGTTATTGAAGACAGTGGGTGATATTACATCACTACTAGATTTGAACCCATGTATAAACAATAACAATCTTAAGACAATTTGCCCCCTCACAGATGCCAAAGGTTGATGGACACTTGTCTCCCAGGATAGAACGGATTTCGTCTGAAGAATGGTGGCACTACCAATCAACAGCCCAAACGAACACAACTATTGCCAGAGGAAAGTACACCGGAGGATGAAAGGCAGTATACAAAATCGGAAGGAGAAAAATTCCGGCAGAGTTTCAGTGCACAAAAAACTGGATTAATTTCTAAAAATGTTAGTGTCTATTCACGATGAACAGTCGCCGGCTGCGAACCGCCGTGTCTGACGGCGGTGAACGGGTGCGACCGGTGACCGTTCCGACGAACAGGTACAACCGGTGACCGGTTCAACGAGCAGACACAACCGGTGATTGGTTCACGAAGAGGAAGAACCGGTTCGGTTCAACATTGCTCAAAAAACCGGTGGGTAGAAACGTTTGGGTTGGAGGGAAGCAACGGATACTTTTTTTGACAAAATTTTAAAAAAATTATTTAATAAAAAATTATTTTTATTACACACATATGAATCGAACCGAACCGGCCGGACGGCGGCAGCGGTGCGCGCGTGTGTGTATGGTGGACTAAAGCCCACCTAGCTCCTCCCCCTACATAAAATATATAGTGACCCAAGGGTCAAACTAGGAGAAAGAGGTGGGAGCTTATATACTCTCCCACTTCCTACTAATTGTCCAATGTGGGACTTGTTAAACCCACACACCTCTTCATCTTTCTTTTTCTCTTTTCTTTATTAACCCATTTCTTATTCATAACCAATGGATCATTGTACATTAATTCTTTCATTAATTCCAACAATCCCCCACATGGATAAGAAGTCAAATCATCGTGACAAAATGCATAAGAGTATAAATGCAAAGTGTAAATTCCTCAACGAGAAACAACTGCATCGAGATAGGTGGAGTTACCTTTGAACCTTCTCTAGTGAAAACCTATCGGATATACTCGGTCAATCGGTGGTCTAGGTCGACTTGAACCGTCAACCTTTAGTGTATACCTAGAAAATAGGAGTCACACAATTGCTTCTCTAGCATTGTTGGTCCTTTGTTGCGCCCATTTTGGCCGTGGGACACCTGCCTGGTTCTGCGAGTGTTTTAGAGAATCGGCCTTTGAAAAAATTCTCATAGAAGCGGCCCTCACTTCACACTCACATAGGTGATTTCTTGTGATGTACCTCACTATACATCATCTGAACACAACAGATTAAGAAATCATTAAAAGCCTAAGTGCTTATCCTCATAAATACACTGCCTTGTCTTAGGAATGAGTATGAGTTTGAAAAACTCCACAGTGTTTAAACAGTCGACCATCACTTAGTTGTCTCTTTGAACCTAGTTCATGGGATCTCCATTCTTCTAGGTAGAGTTATCGCAATGCTCAACAATTGATAGGCCTTAAACCCATTCCTTTCGACAAATTTTCAACCAGCTCTCTAGGAATCCATTTGGTTAACGGATCCGCTATGTTCTCCTTAGACTTAACATAGTCAATTGAAATGATTCCATTCGAGAGTAGTTGTCTAACGGTATCATGTCTTCGACATATATGTCTAGACTTACCGTTATACATGACATTCTTGGCCCTTCCAATAGCTGCTTGGCTTTCACAATGTATGCATACGGCTGGGACCGGTCTTGGCCAATTAGGAACATCCTCAATAAAATTACGAAGCCATTCGGCTTCTTCACCAGCCTTGTCTAAAGCAATAAATTCTGCTTCCATGGTTGACCTTGCAATGCAGGTTTGTTTGGACGATTTCCAAGACACAACACCTCCACCAAGGGTGAACACATATCCACTTGTGGATCTAGTGCCGATAGAGCCGGTGATCCAATTTGTATCACAATACCCTTCTATAACTGCGGGGTATTTCTCGTAATGCAAAGCAAAATTTTGAGTATACTTCAGGTATCCCAAAACTCTTACCATAGCTTTCCAATGATTTTCGTTTGGATTACTGGTAAAGCGACTTAACAGACTTACTGCATAAGCAATATCAGGTCTGGTGCAGTTCATAACATACATCAGGTTTCCCAACACATGAGCATATAGCTTTTGTGCTATAAAAGCTATATAGTGAGCCTGTGATAAAGCCAGCCCTGTAGATGTTCTATGGAATTTAATACCTAGGATAAGGTCTGTTATCCCCATATCTTCATATCAAACTTACTTTTAAGTAATTGTTTAGTAGCATTAATCATTTGATTATTACTACCCATGATCAACATGTCGTCTACATAACAATCTTAAGACAATTTGCCCCCTCACAGATGTCAAAGGTTGATGGACACTTGTCTCACCCTGTAGATGTTCTATGGATTTTAATACCTAGGATAAGGTCTGCTATCCCCATATCTTTCATATCAAACTTACTTTTAAGTAATTGTTTAGTAGCATTAATCATTTGATTATTACTAACCATGATCAACATGTCGTCTACATAACAATTTTAAGACAATTTGCCCCCTCACAGATGCCAACATGTCGTCTACATAACAATCTTAAGACAATTTGTCCCCTCACAGAGGCCAAAGGTTGATGGACACTTGTCTCACCCTTTTGATTATTACCACCCATGATTGTCCCCTCACAGATGCCAAAGGTTGATGGACACTTGTCTCACCCTGTAGATGTTCTATGGATTTTAATACCTAGGATAAAGTCTGCTATCCCCATATCTTTCATATCAAACTTACTTTTAAGTAATTGTTTAGTAGCATTAATCATTTGATTATTACTACCCATGATCAACATGTCGTCTACATAACAATTTTAAGACAATTTGCCCCCTCACAGATGCCAACATGTCGTCTACATAACAATCTTAAGACAATTTGCCCCCATTTGATTATTACTACTCATGATCAACATGTCGTCTACATAACAATCTTAAGACAATTTGTGCCCTCACAGAGGCCAAAGGTTGATGGACACTTGTCTCACCCTTTTGATTATTACTACCCATGACTGTCCCCTCACAGAGGCCAAAGGTTGATGGACACTTGTCTCACCCTTTTGATTATTACTACCCATGATTGTCCCCTCACAGAGGCCAAAGGTTGGTGGACACTTGTCTCACCCTGTAGATGTTCTATGGATTTTAATACCTAGGATAAGGTCTGCTATCCCCATATCCCCTAACAGATGTCAAAGGTTGGTGGACACTTGTCTCACCCTGTAGATGTTCTATGGATTTTAATACCTAGGATAAGGTCTGCTATCCCCATATCTTTCATATCAAACTTACTTTTAAGTAATTGTTTAATAGCATTAATCAATGGCTCAAACGAACACATCTATTGTCGGCGGACCACTGTGTCTGACGGCGGCGAACGGTGACCGTTCCGACGAACAGGTACAACCGGTGATTATTTTTATTACACACATATGAACTGAACCGATCCGAGCCGGACGGCGGTGGCGTGCGCGTGTGGTGGACTAAAGCCCACCTAGCTCCTCCCTCTACATAAAATATGTAGTGACCCAAGGGTCAAATTAAGAAAGTGAGGTGGGAGCTTATATACTCTCTCACTTCCTACTAATTATCCAATGTGGGACTTGTTAAACCCACACACCTCTTAATCTTTCCTTTTCTCTTTTTCTTTATTAACTCACTTCTTATTCATAACCAATGGATCATTGTACATTAATTCGAACATAGGATCCAACTCACTCTGTTTGCGATTGATGTATCAGCCAGCTACAACTTACAAGTAAGCAAGCCTTTAATTTATCATCGTATATAGACTTACTCACCCTCTTACGCCAGCAACACGTACGAGCTCACAGCTCATAAGTAGTCTCTATTTTATTGTAGCAAAAAAAAGTAGTCTCTATTTCACAATAATTAAAAAGGAGGACTTTTATTTTCTTTTGTTTATAATCTAGATTTGTTATAAGGCCTATTTGGGCGTTCACAGAAAACATAGCACAATCTGTTCTTTCTATGGAGCAGGCTTCACAAGTCTGGAAAGATTTGCGTGAGAGATTTTCCCAATCAGATACTTTTCGTATTGCTGATCTCCAAGAAGATATTTTTCGAATGCAACAAGGAACAAGGTCAATTTCAGAATATTTCACTCAGTTAAAGATCCTATGGGACGAACTTGATAGTCTTGAACCTTCACTCAACTGTTCTTGTGGAGCTTTAGTACAGATAAAAGCTACTAAAGAAAGAGATCATATAATTCGTTTCTTGAGAGGACTCAATGAGAGATACTCACAAGCAAGGTCCCAGATAATGCTCATGCAACCTTTACCAGGTATGAATTCAGTCTTTTCACTAGTCATCCAGCAAGAACGTCAATTGAATGAAGATAGTGTTGAAAATGAAATTGAAAAAGAGCCCAAGGTTCTGTTAAATGTCACCACTCAACAATACACACGAGGAGGTGGACAATTTACAAGAGGAAGAGGTCGCACCTTCACTGGAAGAGGTGGACAATTTGCTGGAAGAGGACGTGGAAGCATAAATAGAATCTGTACCTACTGTGGTAGAACTAACCACACTATAGAGACGTGTTACAAGAAACATGGCTACCCACCTGGTTATACATTCTCTCATAAAGCGAATGCTGTTTCACAAGTGGAAACTGATGCAAATCTTGATGAATTCTTTGAAGAACAGTCTCAGAAACACCATGAACAAGATTGTACCTTCTCTAAAGAGCAATATAACAGTATTTTAGACTTGCTGCAGCAAACAAAAGTTAGTTCAAATCATGCTTCCAATGCTGTGCACACCACTATGTTCAACACCAATCACACTTTGAACTCTGTTTAAACAGGTAATCCAAATACTCAATGGATATTGGATACTGGTGCCACTGACCACATTTCTTATAACTCTAGTATGTTCACATCTATTAAATCAATCAAACCAATAGTCATAAACCTTCCAAATGGTTCTCAAATCCAAGCACTTCATTCTGGCATAATTCATATTTCTGACTCACTCATATTAAATGATGTTCTGTATGTAGCTTCTTTTCGTGTCAACCTTATATCAATCACTAAACTTATACGTGATTTGAAATGTTCCATCATCTTTAATGAGCCTTCCTGTTATATTGTGCAGAACATCAACCAGAGGATGATTGGTTCAGCTAAACAAGTGGGTGGTCTATATGTGCTTAATCAAGAATCTCCTAGAAAACAAAATTCCACAGAAAACAGTCAATGTAATGTTGTGAAAAATGTAAATAGTCAGTCCTTATGGCATTTTAGACTTGGTCACTGCTCTCAATCCATTATGCAGTCCATATGTACAAAATTTCCCTTTATCAGCAATAATACTGTCATTCCTTGTGATACATGCCATTTTGCTAAACAAAGAAAGTTGCCTTTCACTTCTAGTTCTTCTCTATCTTCTCATATATTTGATTTGGTTCATGCTGACATTTGGGGACCCTATGGGATACATTCCATTTCTGGTCATCGATATTTTTTAACTTTAATTGATGACTATTCTAGATTCTGTTGGGTCATTCTCATGAAAACCAAATCTGAAACACGTGATCACCTTAAGAGCTTCATAAAACTCATTGAAAATCAATTTCAAACCACCATAAAAACCATTCGAAGTGACAATGGACCTGAATTTTTAATGTCAACATTCTTTAATTCAAAAGGGATTATACACCAAACAACATGTGTAGAATCTCCACAACAGAATGGTGTTGTTGAAAGAAAACATCAACACATTCTGAATGTAGCTAGATCCCTCCTTTTCCAATCAAAAATTCCCAAAAAAATTTGGAGTTACTGCATCACTCATGCAGTACACATTATAAACAGATTACCATCTTGCAATCTCAAAAACAAGAGTCCTTATGAACTGCTACACAATACACTTCCTCTCCTAAATCACCTTAAAATCTTTGGCTGCCTATGTTATGCTACTACTCTTTCTACTGGTCGCACAAAGTTTGATCATCGAGCCAGAAAAGCTATATTCCTAGGATATAAAGCTGGAACAAAAGGTTACCTTCTTTATGATCTTTCAACTCATAACACCTTTGTCTCTAGAAATGTTATTTTTTATGAGTCAAATTTTCCATTTGCCAAATTAGACCAGCAAAATTCTTCACATATAACAGATTCATCTAATCAAAATGTACCTACATATGATGATTCTACACCAAATTCAACCCAGCCAACCTTATCCTTACCTCAGACAGTGATCCATCACCCATCCAATACAAACAGTGATTCCCCAACTCAAAACATTTCAAGGAGATCAACCAGAACAAAGAATATACCAAAATATCTCACTGATTTTCACTATAACCTCCCTACTGCACATGCTGCAATCAATGCATCCTCAGGTACTCATCCAACTCTTTATCCTTTGACTTCATTTTTATCTTATGACCATTGCTCTCCCTCTCATACCTCCTTTTGTTATAATATCTCATCTCATTCTGAACCACACACATACAAACAATCTGCATCTAATCCATTCTGGCAACAAGCAATGAAGGAAGAAATTCAAGCTTTAGAAAGGAACAAAACATGGACTCTTGTTGACTTGCCAGCCAATAAACAACCCATTGGTTGCAAATGGGTATACAAAATAAAGCACAAAGCTGATGGAACCATAGATCGATACAAAGCCAGGCTAGTGGCTAAAGGTTTTACTCAATTGGAAGGCATTGACTATCTAGACACTTTTTCACCTGTTGTTAAGCTTACAACAGTAAGAACCTTGCTTGCAATTGCCACTGCCCGAAACTGGTTTATTGAACAACTAGATATAAACAATGCATTTCTTCATGGTGACTTAAATGAAGAAGTATACATGGTGATACCTCCAGGCCTTTATGCTTCCTCTTCATCTCAAGTATGCAAGTTACATAAATCTTTATACGGTTTAAAGCAGGCTAGTAGGAAATGGAATGCTAAACTTACATCTGCATTACTTGCTTTAGGTTATACTCAGTCCTTAGCTGACTACTCACTCTTTGTTAAACACAAAGAGAACTCATTCACTGCCCTACTTGTTTATGTGGATGACATTGTTCTAACTGGGAATGACCAAACTGAAATTTCTTTGGTTAAGTCATCTCTCCATCAACAGTTCAGCATCAAGGATCTAGGTTCTTTAAAGTTTTTTCTTGGTTTGGAAATTGCTAGATCCAAACGTGGAATGGTTATTAATCAAAGAAAATATGCTTTGGAATTATTATCTGATTCAGGATTCCTAGCTGCTAAACCTGCCTCAACTCCTTTAGATCCAGCTCACAAACTTCAAAAGGATCAAGGCACTCCATACCATGATGTTCCAGAATATCGAAGACTCATTGGGAGGTTGTTATACCTCACTACTACACGTCCTGATATCTCTCATGCCATTCAACAACTCAGCCAATATGTCTCTAATCCTATGGACACTCACTACAATGCTGCCTGTCATGTTCTTCGATACATAAAAGGATCTCCATCAAAAGGTCTGTTTTTCCCTGCCAAAAATGAGTCTCACATATCTGTTTTTACAGATTCAGATTGGGCATCTTGCCCTGACACTAGGAGGTCCATTTCTGGCTTCTGCATATTCCTAGGATCATCTCTAATCTCATGGAAATCGAAGAAGCAAACTACCGTTTCCAGATCCTCATCAGAAGCAGAATATCGGGCTATTGCACATCTTACTTGTGAACTTCAGTGGCTCCAGTACATCCTTCATGACCTTCACATTTCCCTTCCTCAACCGGCTTCTGTTTTCTGTGATAATCAAGCGGCTATATACCTAGCTCATAATCCCACTTTCCATGAGCGAAGTAAACATATAGAATTAGATTGTCATGTTACTAGAGAAAAGATTCAAGCTGGCCTCATTCATCTCCTTCCGATTTCTACAAAGCATCAATTGGCAGACACTTTCACAAAAGCTTTACAGCCATCGCAGTTTCATATTCTCATTAGCAAGTTGGGATTGCTTGACATCAACCTTCCAACTTGAGGGGAGGGTATTATCATACTAGTTATACCAACTTATCTGATATGACAGTTATGTTGGTTGTTAGTTATGTTCGTTATTTTCCAGTTCTTGATACAACAGTTATCTATGTATCATATAAATATTGGTCACACTGCACTTGAATCAATAATGAAAATACAGAGCATTTTCTTCTCCTTCTTCATTCTTTCTTCTCTCTTTCTTCTTTCAATTTTCTGTGATAACAGTTGTTATACGTGATGAGTCGCAGTCTCACACTTAATTGGGGTTTACAGGATTGAAAAACGATTATGACAGAACACTTCTCACACCAAAGAAATTTTCTCCATATTATAAATATTCTCATGTATTCCTTAACTCTACGGAAATCATCACTTACAAGCTATAATCGAGGCCAATCGCCAACTTGTCTAAGCCTTCAATTGTGACAGACTTGAACTGTAGTTCAAACTGTTGTATCTCTAATCATTATTGCATTGATCTATTTCACCCTCTAAGTGATACATTTACTCTGTTACCCCTCTAACAAGTTCAATTTATTAGTTGAACATTGAAAGTCTGCACGCCTATATAAACAACGACCTCTTTCTGTTAGTCAACTTCATCGCTTTTTGAACGGATTTAACTATTTACTCGTTGCCCTGCACTTCACTTAGCAGCCCAAACTTTGAAAGATGTGGATTTGGTGTTTAAAAAAATGTGAAAAGTATGGGTTTAATATTTATAATGTTATAGGATATAAATTTATCTCTTACACATACTTAAAAGTGTGTAAGGCCCATGTGAGAAAAAGAGAGAGAAAGAAAAAATATGAACCCTACATTTTACTTTTATATGTGTGTAATAGATAAAATTATCTCCTACCATATAAGAGACACTAAACCCTAAAAGTATATACTCATGCGATGACGACCATGGCAACGGTGCACATATTATTCAATTCAACATGTCATAGTTAACTTAGATTTATTTTTCCTGATGTTCTTCATATATAGGTTAGGTTCCCTAGTTAGATCTCCATGTGTGGAACATTGACAAGGGCATGAAGGCAAACAACGAAACATAATTAAGAAAGTCCTTCTACGGGCCATCCAACTGGGACCTACCTAGTCTGAATTCTCTTACCATTCGGCTTAAAATGTCGTTATTTTTTCAAATAAAAAATTGACCACCGACAGTACAAGGAAGTCCAACAAGAGAAAATTCTGTGGCTATAACACGTTGAAGTTGATCGGACGTTTTTGATCTATTTCGCAATCGCAATGCATTAATTGTAGATTTTCTTTTGTCTTTGATAAGTGATAACCTATAAATAAGAATTACCAATTCACTTAGGCAAACAATTTTCTATTGTTGTCGTTGTATATGTTTCTTTCATGATGGACGCATGGATTGGTATAACATTTTGATATGGGAAATATCGTTGTTTTTAGTATTGCAGCACACGTCTTCGAAATTTTCATGGGCAATTCGGCGTAGGTTTATTGCATGTTATGCATTAATCGTGCATTTCGGGCTCTTTAGCTTTGTCAATGTGATTCCTTTTTATTTTCGGCTAATTAAGGCTCGATTTTGGGCAACTTATATTTCTTGTTTGTGAAATTTATAAATTTAATTTAAAATATTGGGTGCACTTGGGTGCTTTTGCTACTGTACAGTGTGCCGTAAACTCGATCGGCCATGTTAGATGACAAGAAGCAAACATGTTTGCTGGCACTCTTTGCTTTTAGTGATGGGTACAAAATGAAAGGGCTCGGTGTCGTGCAAGGATCATTGTCCATGGTCCCTAACTTAACACGGACACCGGAGAAAGTGTCAAAAATCGT